TTAAAGCATTTTATATTTGGTAAAGGTACAAGAAACTAAACAAAAGAAGAGCTCTAGAGTGGGACATGTCAAGCAATCTTAACTGCCAACTTTTTACTAGCTGTAGTATATAGAAGACCTGATCAGATGTAGGTGCTGTACAAACATATAGGAAAGAACTTATAGTCTAGGTTAACAACAAGACACAGCAGATGATATAATAGAAGAACATAAGAACTGCCATTTACTGGGTCAGGCCATAGGTCCATCTTGCCCACCCTCCTGTGTCACACAGTGGCAGAGAGTGGATGGTGAAAGGGAGTGAACTGGGTATGACCAGGGTTTTTTCTACTGTTCTTCTCTCTCTAGCAGCCTCCAGGATTTAAGGCCAGGTTTATAACCACAGTGATAAAATGCGGCGGGGCTGATAGGGGAGGTAGCAATGACAGAAATATGTTTTTGAATAGACTAGGCTTTGCACACGAGCACAATGTACCTTACCACCTCCCTAACGGTTCTCAATTGTCACTGTCTGTAGACAGAAGTAAATGGTAAGCAGGGGGCTTGTGCCAAGCAGAAGATGACATAAGAACTGATCATTGAAACACTCCTTCGCTATTTAACACTAAAGACCTGAGTCTCCCACTGATACCTATGGGAATTCCATGTGGCCCGGAGGCAGCCTTAGCATGACAGCATAGCAGGAACAGGATGCCATACATGTGCAAAAGGATTTGGAGACCGTGCTTCCATAGCATTTGGGGTTGCAGTGCATATCCCAATGGCAAAGTGAGCAAAGGCCTTTGATTGTTTCTTGAGTGGAACCTTTCTGCTCTCTACCGCAACAGCTGTAACACTACAGAACAGGAAAAGGGGACGTGGGAGAGAACATGTTCAAGGCCCCACGTCTTAAATCCAGGGGCTCTAATGCCAGGAAAAACACATTTTGAATTCATTTTCTTTCCTCATGGAGAAGTTGAGATCCCCAACTCAACAATTTTTAAAAGCTATAACTTAACAGTAACTGCGCTGCAACTAAAATTAGTGCTCAAACAAGATCAGGTCTCTAAAACAGAGAAACAAACACACGGCATGGAAGGTTATAGTGGTGCTAGCGCCTGCTTAGGGTCATTTTATTGAAGCAAGTGCACAGCTGCATTTTCTTTTAAAATACTGCTGCAGTGTTTTAAGAGAAGGGGGGGAATAATCTAATTTTTGGCAGCAGGGGATATTTCGCAAATCATAGATGCTTTGGCATCAAGCCGTTAACAAAGGCAGGGGCCTTCACTTGCAAGCTTTGCTGGGAGAGATCCACCCACCTCAAGTGGGATTAATTAAAACAGGCATGTATCATGTGAATAGTTTCTGTTTCCTCACAGAAATACTCAGCACACATAACCCAAAACAGGTTGAGAATCAGAGAAAAGTAAAAAAGAGATTTTTTTTCCCCTACTCCCCCTTCACATTTCTTTCTTGGTACAATAAATGAGGAACAATACAGACTGAAAAAAGCTCATGGTTTCTGTAAAACTGCAGCTGCTTTGATTAAATGCTAATAATGTTGAATAAAATTAGGGGTTTTGTTTTTGTTTAAGGTAGGGGTCATATTTTGCTAATGAGGTGACAAATTCTCCAATCAAACTGTACTCACAGCCACACACTTATCTGGGTGGTCTAAATACTTCCTCTCAAAATGATTTCAGTTATTGCTTTTTTTAATCTTAAAGCTCAGAAGGAAAGAGAGGGGAAAATGCTTGTGTTGTCCTGTCATGTTACAATTTTCAGCTCCAGAATAAAGGGTGAGGAGAAGATGGCTTCTTTGAAAAGCTAGAACAACTTAACAAAAAAAAGAAAGAAAAAAAAGAAGAAAAAAGAAAAGTACAGTATCATTCTTTTCAAGAAGCTTTCATAGGAATGATGGATTCTGGCACTTCAAGGAATCGCTGGAGAAAATGGTGGTAAACCAGACAAAGCAGAAAGCCTAAATATATAAGTAAGTACAGAGAAAGCTCAAGTTTCATCAAGACCTCTTCCTTGAGATTTTGTTTTTTTCCCTCTTAATATCTCAGACCCCTTTTTGGAGCTGATTAACTACATTCCCACTCAGGGTTTTTTATTAAAAACAGACTTTAGCAGCAATTCCAAATCTAAAAGTGAACTTTTAATAGACAGAGGAGTCGGACACATTACCCTCTCAGGTGACTTCCCCCTATGGCCCCTGCTCAGGGATTTCCTCTCTTCGAGTTTAGTCAGCAAGATAAACTTGACGTTTCAGCACAAATGTGAACCCTTCCTTTATTCTTAAATGTTTGTGTTTTTTAAATTGAAATACCTTCTCAGCAATAGATAAAAAGAATTATAAACTGGGTCAGAAGATGCACTGTAGATCTTTTTTTTAAAGTCAAATACTAGGAAGTTCTGTAACAGTAGTATAGATGGTTACAGTATTAACAACACTGCGCTCTTTCACCAGCAATTGTTTTCCATGCCACTAAATGCAGCTATGAGCTTTAAATGATGCCTAACTAGGCTTCTTTGGGCTATGACTTACCATCAGGGCTCCACCCAGCTAGCAGCTTATCAAACACAAGATTAAACATGCAACTAAGCCAGGCAGCTCAGGAAAGCAGTATCCATGCAACAAAGCAGGAAAGAGGAGACATGCTCATTCTCCAGGACAGACAACTAACAACTGCTGGGTCGCTATGGTTCCCTCCAGTAGTACAACGGACAAAGCACTGCATCTTGACTCTTCACATGGTGTGTGCATTAATAGTATAATGGAGACTATGGTGAAGGAGCCATTGATATCATTTTGAAGCTCTCCAGACTGAGGAAATTCAGAGACACTATTCTACTTCTGGTGCTTAACACCTAAAGAAGCATATTTCACCTCAATGGTCTAATATTTATTAGTAACTTGAGATAACATTGAGTGTATATTGGCATGACAGAGTGCATTTCATGTGTGGCAAATGATGCACTGCCTTTTCAATGGTAAAAAATACAGAAATGTTTCCTATCACTTTATGTAGTTGATCTGTTTCTTTTGGGCTAGAACAATTATATTTGAAGGTAGAGTTATGTAACTGGAAGCCATAACTGATTTGACAGATTTAAATGAAAGCATTTCAGTAGCTTTTAATCCATAGAGTCAGGTATCCAGACTGTAGCCGTATTGGTCTAGAGGCAAAAGGAATCAGAAGTTGTGGTAGAGGTGATATCTTTTATTAGACCAACTAGATGTTTTCACACAAAAAAAAAACCTTTTTTTGCAAAATAAATGTCTTTAATGTGCCTGAAATCTTGCAATTAAAGACTTTTTTTTTCTTTTTGCAAACATCTAGTCAGTCTAATAAAAGATATCACCTCTACCCCAAGTTCTGATTCCTCAATCCATACATGAAGTTTACTTTCAATGACTATTTTAAAAATTGAAAATATGAACAGTTACTTTGACCTTTCTACATATAATCTGCTTAAATTGTCATTATTGGTATTTTTAAATCTTATGAAAAACAGAGTCCCCCATGTATCACCAAGGGATTTAAACTAGGGATGTGAAAAGTTCAATGTTTAAACGATAGGTACATTTATACTGGTAACGCATCACCAGTTAACGTATGGTGTGCAGTCTGGCGGGGAAGGGAAGTGGCGCAGTGCTTCAGGAACAGTAAGGTAGAGGGCAGGCAGGAGGGAGGGAGGGAGGGAGGGAGGAGCAAGGAGGAGTGGGGGTGGGGGGAGACAGGAGGGAGAACTAGTACCCATAGCCTATGAGGTTAAAGAGGAAAACAGCAGGCAGCCTAATGAATCATCATCAATTAAGCAATTATCTGCTTTTTCACAGGTGCTCCCTCCCTCCCAGAGGTGCCAGCAGCTGCAGTGGGCTGGGAAAGTCCCATACCAGCTGCTGCCCCCTGCAGCTTCATATGGGCTGTGCTGTCTGGAAGGGCCTGCCACCGCCACTGCCACCCCCCTCTCCCCCAATCAAAGGCCCTGGGAGCAGCAGTGGTGTCTTAGCTGCTGTGTTATCAGTTAACCGTTTAACTGATACAATTAGAGGAGGTTAAACGGATAATTTTTTAAACAATATTTACAACCCTAGTTTAAACCTGCATCTGTCTCTCACACTTTAGGATACAACTGGAAGCCTTTAAAAACAACCTTTTATATTAATGTATTATTAGGGATATTATGTTATAGTATAACTGTAATACTTAACAATGCTACCTTCAGATCCTGGTAAAAGAAAAACTGACAATGTCTTAACTGCTTTTCCCCAAAACTGAAAACCTATAAAAGTACCTTAACGTACTGATGAAAGACAAAACCCCAAATAAAAGAGGGCAGAGACAAAAGTCCTTGTTCTTTAACCTACCATGTTCTGCCACGTGATTTTATATAAGTTACTTGCTATAATGACTACAATAAGTATGCTGTGGTTAGGTATAGATAGATTTTCCACCACAGGCTTTGTATTTTTGGACTGAACTTGGACTTTTATCACTATTGTTCCACTTTTAAGTGGCTGATTTTTTTTTCTTAAAGATTCAGTAGGGTCACTTCTGGTGATACCGTCCTGTGATTCCACCTGAATGGAATGGATGAGTTAAGCCATCTCGCTCTATGCCACCAGTTCTCCATGTTACATTGCATTACAACAACAGTGTGTCACTAACTCTTGTGTCTGCCTTTTTACTGCTCCCTGCCACACCTTTCAACTGGATGCAACAGAACAAGGGTTTGTTTTGCTGTCAGACCTACAATATGTCATTTCTTTATTTCTATTCACTATATACTTGTCTTTAAGTTAAAATTTTCTCATTAAATCATTGAGAAATAAGATTTGGAACAAAAAAAAAAATGGATGCTTCAAAAATCAGTCTCTGACTTCCTGGAGTGAAGTCTTTTGCTTTGTTAACTCTAGTTTTAAGAAGATTGCATTTCAGTTTTCCACGCAATGTCTGTTATTCTATAGGAAGAGAACCATGCCCAGCATCAGGAGTTATTCAACATCTTACCTTGGAATGCTGGGAGGAGCCCGTGTTGGCCGGGATGGAACCTGAGGAGGTGCTCCAAGGGCTTCACTGCTGCTAGGAAATGGGGGTAATGGTCCTGGACGGAACGGGACTGGTGGAGCCCCTGACTGAGGGCCTGGAGATGGGATTGCTGGAGCAGGTCCTCGGCCAGGTAAAGGTCTGGTTGGGGGATTATTTAAGGTAGGCCTCCTCTGAGTTGAAGGACTTGGAGGAGGTGATCTAGTGAATAATCAGAGATTAATGAAGATCTACACACTTTTTACATGGAATCCAGAAACACCCTGACATCTTCTGAATATTTTCCTCTGCTCTTATATTGTTTTAGTTCTACAGGGCATAATTTAAGCAACCCAGTATAGCACAGATCTGGTATTATGTACTTGAAATAATGCTTTTTTGTATTATCTTTTCCATGCTCTCATCCATTTCTAATCACTACTCAGAGCTGCTTCAGATTCTCAAAAGAATGTCTATTGTTTTGTTAAATGGTATCAACCCCTTAACCACAAAACTTAGACAATACCCAACAGTTTCGTAGATACTGTAGATATTATAATGGTCAGAAGCAGATGTATAATTGCAAATGTCAATATAAAGGGTTTAGTATCGTTAGTATTCTACCACTATTTTATTAGGTTAATTTATAGGGAAGGATATTCTGTCTCTTTAAGGAAGCCATAAGTAAGAAGCACTGAACACTCACAATTGCTTGTAAGCAGAACCAAAAGTAGACAAAGGATTTGGGTTAGATTTTAAAAATGGGACTGCCAGAGCATGGAAAATGGAAGAGTTTAAACTCCTAAAGATACAGGGAACTTTAAATGTGAGGGTGTAAGCGATCACATGGTTTGCACTACTTTTGCAAGCACATCAACTAAATAGAGGATCAGCCAAGTCACAAAGTATGCCAGACAGTCTTCTCAGAGTCAAGAACAAGGTTACTAAGAACCTCTGTTGGTGAATATAAACCAACAACCCTATAAACCACTCTGGCATTTAGTTGCCTAACATATATGTGTGGAAGAATTTTGGAGAAAAAATATCCTGCAGGCAGATTTGGAGATACAAACACCAGATTGCAGATTTTTTGGTGCTAAAGAGATCACAGTAGCGACTTGGAAGCCAAATCTGGATGATGAATCCCACAGCTATGTCAGAATACAAGGTTCTCAACATATCAGAAACAGCAATGCCAGTTGAAACAGAACTAAATACCAAAACATCTCCAAAGGAGACTTTATAAGTGTACTTTTCCCCATGTCCCCTCTAGAACAGAATAGGAGACTTGGAGTGAAGCCTGGTGGTTTGACTGGAAAGAACACTCATTGGGCAGAGAAGAATTTTGAGCACACTGGTATTTAAACCCAGTTTACTTGAGAGATTCTTGGGTTTGCCAAGTAAAAATAACATACCTGCATGATCTCCAGTCCTCAAGTTTGGTAGGGAGGGGG